ATTATGGCTTATACTGCATTTATGTTTAGTATCTATTCCTTACTATCTGATACTGCCTTGCCTCTTAGATGAAAGGAGAGGTTACTGTACTTCTTATTTATATACTAAAATATCTCTTTGCGTTATATTGTTTATTTTATATATTAGAAGAGAAAATGCTTTATTATTTCTTTTGCCTGCTTGCAAAACTATTTATCTATTAGTGCTGCCCTGATTTAATATAGATAATTATAATAATATAACTTTTAATAGTTAATTTAATAAATATAAGTAATTAATTAAAGCTTTAGTTTTAAGTTATTTTAAAAGGCCTAAAGTATAAATAGAATTTAGCTTTTTATATTATAATTAAATATCTTTTTTAATTATAAATTATATAATTAAAATATAAGGTATTAAATTAATGGATTTTTATTATATAACTGTTAAATATTGGGGTGAATTGTATACTATTTATCTTCTTCTGTCTCTCTGTGTGTCCTGCTTGTTGCTTGAGGCTTAAAGCAAGCTTTATATGCCTTTTCTTGCTATATGGAATTAGCTGGAAGTTGCTTGCTAAGCTGTGGCAATAGGTGACAACTGTCATCTTTAATGACAATATTTATCAGCTTTTCAAGCTACTTCCATGAGCTTCCTTTTGGCACTATTCAACAATAACTAACGTGTTTAATAAGCAAGCGACGCACTACCTTATATACCTTAAATCTGGTTTTTAAAAAGCTCTTTAAAAATCCAAACTAAATCTAAAATAGCTATAATTATAATAGCATATATATAAGTCTTAAAATAAGGTATTTTATCTTTTTAAAAAATCTAAGAAAATCCTATATAGCTATAAACTCTAAAATCTATTTATACTATAAGATATACTATATAATTAGGCTTTTCTTTATAAAGGAAACATTTTAAAAATTTAATAAAAATATATAATATAGCTATTATTATATTATTATTAAAAATGCTTTTTCTATATTTTTAGTTATTTTATTTAATATTTAAATTACTATAAGGTAAGTTATTTTTAGCTATATAGTGCAGTAAGTTTCTTGCTTATTAAATATATTATTTATTATTATTATTATAAAACTCTTTATATACTTTCTAAAATACTAAATTATTATATATAAGAAATATTATTTTATTTATATAGCAATTAAAGTAATTACTTATTTATAAATAAAATATCCTTATATACTATCTATAAAGTAATATTAAGTAATAGTAAATATCTAATCAGTGCCTTATATTATATAAAACTAGACTAAGTTATATAAGTTTTATAACAAGTATACCCAACTACTATGCCACGGGGTAAAAGATTGGCTTATAACTGCTATTATAGCAATTACAGTAGTGCATACAGCTGCTTATATAAGCCTTACAGCGGTATTACAGTAACCAACTGTAACATTTGGGATTTTTAGTGCACGCACTTGTTATGTATGTTATACGAATATCCGGGTTTAAGAATAAACAATAACTTAAACCTATTTAGCCTAGCAGTGATTCAGCCATATGAACCAAAGGTCTACTCTGCCAAAGTTGTGGGGCCAGTTACAGTAGCAGCAATAGCATGACAACGGGAGATACCGTGCCATGGGGAAAGACTGGAAGCTTGACGTGCTATCTACTACCCGCTAGCACTAGCCTAATAATACTTAAAATAACCAAGTTCCCGATATGCGGTTCCGGTTAGTTATCTTATAATAAATAGGTTACTATAGCTATAACTTTATCTTAGGATTTATTATAAAAGAAGTAAAAGAAAGTAAAGGGGCTAAAGGTTAGGATTAGATATATAACTTAATAAGTAATTATAATAGTTATTAGCCTAACTATAGAGACTTAGTATTAATCTGGTATATAGTAAGTTAGTACTTATATAATAGCAAATAGTTTAAGCTATAATATTAGTCTAATCTTATAGATATTATTACCTAAAATATAATAAGGCTAAGCCTTTATGTTTTTAGTATAGGAAAGATAAATAGGTATATAATAGCTATTTATAACCTAGCCTTAAATTACTTTATAAAAGCAGTAATAAATAGTTTATATTATTATTATATTTAAACCCTTATTAAATAACCTATCTACCGATTATATTATTATAACTAGCTCTAATTAATAGTATTATAAATAACTTAATTAATAATGCTTTTTATTATTATTAAGGGAGTAGGTTATTTTAGACCTTAAGATAATTAATAGCCCTAGAGGGTTTTAATATAATACTATTTTCCTATTTTTAAACTTAAATAAATCTATTAAGTATATACTTTATATACTAGGCGCTTTATACTAATACTTCCTTATATCTTATCCTAGAATATTAATTAACTTTAATTATTTAATTAACTATAACTATTAAGCTAATCTAAAATATAATAAAGCTATTATATTAATATATAAAGTTATAACAAAGAACTTAACTTATAATATAAGAATTATATTAATCTGCTATATAATATTTATATATATAAAGAACTTATATAGGTATTATATTAACTTAATCTGCCATTTATATACTTAGTATTAGCTTTTAGAATTACTTTATATTATTTAATTACTAGATAATATACTAAGTAGAAATATTTATTAATAAGAAAATTAAAATAATAATAATTTTCTTAATACCTTAGCTATAATGTTTTCTTCTCTTAGTAAGAGTATTAGTATATTTATAAAAGATATATCTTTCTTTTATATAATAAAGTATACTCTAATATTAAAAATAGGTTATCCCTAAATGTTATTTATAATAATTATAAAGGCTAAGGACTTTCTATCTGCCTTAAATACTTTTTTTAATAATTACTTATTTAGCAGAGAGACTTAGAGTAAACGTGTTAGGCAGGTTAGTGCAGGCCTTATATATAGAAATAAAAAGATCTTAATTTAAGCCTGTAAGCTTTTATAGCTATTATTTTATATTTAGATTTTAAGATTATAATTATTTAATACTTCTATCTATATAACTATATATATGCCCTAAGATAAATAATACCTAGCGCTATTATTATTATATTAGATAATATAGTTAGCTTCTCTTAAGATAGATTTTAATTACCTAGGATTTAAGAAAAGTAATTATAAAATTATCCTAGATAAAATTAAGGAAATTATTTATATTAAGAATTATTAATTAAGGCTATAATTTGCCTTTAATAGCTATATTATCTATAAGCTTTTAATTATCTATACTTTATATATATATAGAGAGATTTATAATAAGTTAATTACACTATTATAGTCTATGCATCGATATAAGGGGGTTTGGGATAGTTAGGAGGTGGCGAATATATATAAGATAGTCTTTAAAGGCTTAGAAGATAATAGTTTGTTATTAGACTCTCTCCTATAGGGCCTGGCATAGTTGACAAAAGAACAGTCTCCTTGAAGCTTGCCTTTTAACTATCTCTTACTATATATATAATAGACCTTGAAATATGGCTTTGTCTCCTGTAAATAAATAAATAAATAACTGAATTGCATTGCTACCTGAAGACCGCCCTTGCAGGCTAAGTCAAACCTAGCTTGAAGTATAATAGCCTGTATTAAGATAAGGTGTTCTTTTGCATCGCGTCAGGGCTTCAAGTCTCTTTTACCTCTCAGCAGTAGAAGCATGCATATTGGCCTTCGTAAGAACCTTCGGCCAAACCCATTTATCACATGCCAACTCCGTATCTTATCTAACCAGGTTCTTTGTATTTTCAGCACTTTTAGCTCTCAGGCTCTGATTCTTCTGTGCGTATGTGCAAGGCCTTGGCTTTGAAGCATACCCAAGCCTGTTCAGTTTGGAAGATTGACTTATCGATAAATCTGAGGTGTGACGTATTTGCTAAGCCAAGACGGCTGCTAAGCCCTATGAGAGTGGCCAAAACAAGGAAGACGCCAGAGCCAGATTGGGGGCCATACACCTGATTGGGCCTCACTCGCCGGTTTCGTCGTCAGAATGAGGATCAGCAGCTTGCTATAATGCCTATTAGACAGTAATTCTGCATAATGACATACATATACATACCTCTTTTTAACCCGGCTATTGCAGCTTACAAGACCTCTTATCCCCTTCTTTTCTTTTCTTTTCCTGTCAGCTGTATTACATTTTCAAGGAGCCCTGCTGTCAAATCCTCTCTGCTTTATTTCCACAAACGATTTGACAGCCCACCATGACGACATTTCGACCACACCCGCTTCCTTTCACAAGCAAAGATCCGAGGATGCAGGACCCAAGAGGCGAACATGTCGACGGTGGGGATCGAATCTTAATCACTCTACCAACGCTGTGGTTTTCTGTCCAGTCTACGTTGCTGCTGAGCCCGCTTATGCACTTGCAAGGCAGATAACGAAGGTGCGGGAGAAAAGAGCGGAGAAGAAGCAGGCCGAGGAAGAAAGATATTCTAGCAATGCGAAAGAAGGGAAATGGCATGGCCGACAAGACGAATATGAGAGCTAGAATAGCCCTACGACTATGACTGAAACTTGTGAGAGAAAGACGAAGGAGAAGCATGTAGATTTCTGGTCCAAGGTGCGAACTTGTATCCCAGAATGCCCGGCATATCACAAGGATTAGTGCTTGGCTCATGTGAGAAGGCAATCACAGGAGTCAACGAGTTCTGGAAGCTCGACAGACCAGGGAATCAAGCCTTTTATCTATTGATCACGTCCCGCAGAGCGTTTAGCTAATGGGCTTTTGTAAATTGAAATAACAATACGCTGAGGACGAGCCTAAGACGATCTTGGGATAAGTTTTACGATAATACCATGGACTATTATGAGAGATCAAATGGCCAAAACTACCTAGGCAAATGGTCAACAACGAGTATTAATAAATCAAGTGAGTATCTCTGCACGTGAACGTGGTGTTGACTGTCCTATAGATGGCAGAATGAGCCGCGTAACTAATTACTACTCTTTCATCCATATGCTGAACCAGCATTCAGAATAACCACATCTCGACTAGCAACCTCTTCAGAAGTACCTTTCATACGCATTTACATCTAGTCAAACGGGATCCATTCTTGACCTGTCGCTTGAACGGCCTTTCTAGCATCAACCTTGAACTCGTCCTTGGGAACACTCCTGCATATATCCTTTTTCTGGTTCAACTTTCCCAATAATTCCCTCGTTATCAGGATAAGCTTTACGTGACAGGTCTCTATAAGCCTGGATATTTGCGAATTGCCGTTTCCACCAGCAATATATCGCTGCCCATCAGCCACTTGCATATTGTCAACTGCAAATCAGTAAGTCACGCAACATCGCGCACATTAACATGCGTTCCGTTACCGGGCCCTATAGACGGCATATCTTCACCGTTCATGATGCGATAAGCAATAATCGCTGTCTCGCTCAGCTTCGCGGGATCCTCAGGCAGGATTGGCGGCGGTCCAGCAACTCAGACTTTGATAGCTGTCATGGTGAAGGTGATGCGACTAGCATTCTTGTGTCGAAACCCCAGAACACTAGCTCTGCCTTGACCTTACTTGCGATGTAGATTTGGTGGCCTATTGCCTTAGAATTATTTTAAGTGGTTTTACTTAAAGTCTATTAATTATTAGTTTTTACTTAAAGTAAATTACTAACTTTAATATATATAGTCTTAATTTATTTAAGTTATAAGCTTATTATAAACTTTATTAAAATTAAGATTAAATTATAATATAACTCTTTTCTTATTTTATAATAATATATAAGGCTTTTTTATTAATATCTTATTAAGTTATTTTTTATAACTTATTTATATATTTTTTACTTATAAATAATTATTTATTTTTAGTTTTTTTAGTTACTTATACTTTAATTTAATTAGTTTTTACTTTATTTTAATTTAAGTAAGTTATTATTTCTTTTTTAATTTATTTTCTTAAACTTATTAAGGTTTTATAATACCTTTTTATTTACTTATAATTAAAATACTAGTTATAACTTACTTTTAAGTATTTTAAAAATAAGCCTATTACTTTTTAATATTAATAATTATTAAGTTAGGCTTTTAGGAACTAAGCCTTATATTAATTCTCTTTTAACTTAATATATTTCTAATAAATAGCTTATAAATTATTATACCTTAAATGTATAATTAAACTTAAAGCTAATATTTTTAAAATTTAATTATAATAATACTTATAATTTATATATTAATAGTATAGGTAATAAGTATTAAGGTTTTAAAGTTATTATATATTTATTTATTTATTTTATTTTAATAATTTAATTAACTAAAATAGTAAATCTGAATAAGTTAATTTATTTTTAAATTTAAAAGTTTTTAAAATTATAATTAGTTATTATTATATTTTACTAAATATTTTTATAATTAATAGCTTTAATTCCTTAAAGGTTATAAAGGGTATTTACTTAAAAGTTTTTAAATATACTTATATCTCGTTTAAAAATATAATTAATAATACTTTTAGTTTTAAGTATTATAATAAATACTTCTTTAAGTTTTTTATATAACTTAATATATAATATTTATTATATAAAAGGAGGTTTTATATTAGCTTTATTTTTTTAATAACTTTAAAGTTATTAAGTTTTCTTTTTATAATAAATAATAATAAAGATAAATTTATAGTTATTAAATTAACTTATTAATAAGGTTTAAAAAAGGCCTTTAATTATTTTTTTAAATTAAGTATTAATATAAATAAAATTCTTTAAGTTATAAAATCTAGCCTTAAATTAATATACCTATTAGCTTATAAGTATAAAGCAGTCTTTATAATTATAAGAAAGAACTAAGATAAGTTAATAAAAAAGTAAAGTCTTAATAAAATAAAAGCTTTTATTATTACTTAACTTTTTATAAAGCTTTATAAAATATTTAATTATATATTATATTATAAAAAATATATTAAAGAGTTTAATAAGTATTTTAATTTTCTATTTAACTTAATTTAATTTTAGCTTTATTAATTAATTAAGTAATATATACTTAATTAATTACTAAGCTTTAAATAAGTTAAATATAATACTTTAAAATAGCTTTTAAATAATTAATATATACCTTTTACCTTTAAAATAAGAATATTATTAAAGTAAAAATATTAATTAACTTATATATTTATTAGCTTTTTTAAATTAATAAAGTTAATTTATTTTAATATATTTAATTTCTTTACTATAATTTATAATATATTTTATTTTAAACTTAAATATATATTTATAAAAAATATATTTATTTAGTAATTTAATATTGAAATATTAATAGTTATAAAACTTATTTTAAGCCTTTATTTTTAAATTTTCCTTTTAAGTTTAATATATAAATCTTAGCTAGTAATAGTAAAGAAATGCCTTATTAATAAATTAGAGATATAGCAATAGCCTTAATAATAAGAAGTAAGTATTAATAATATTTATATATATTAAGTAGTAATTTATTAAGATAAGTAAAAGATATCTAATTTTATAGTTTTTATATAATAATTAAAATTAATTTAAGACTTAAAAATATTTTTTTTTATATTTCTTATTTAAGAAAGTAAATATAATATAAAATAAATATTAATAAAAGTTAATATAAATTAAGTCTAAAAGTAATATATTATATTTATTAGTTTTATATATATAGTTTAAGATTAAGATATTTAAATATACTTATAAATATATTACTAAATTAAGATATATAAATAAAATAGCTTTAACTTAACTATTTAAATTAATTTATAATTAACTTTAAAATCCTTTTTTAAATAATTAATTAGTAAGTATATTAATATTACTTTATCCTTAATAAACTTTTTATTTAATATTTATAATATTATTATAAATATCTTATTATATTACTATTATATTAATATTTTATTATATAAATATTTAAATTTCTTTAAGAATTATCTTAATATTAATAAGGCTAATTAGTTAAAATAAGTATTTTTTAAATATTATTTAAAGTATTAAGTAAGTAATATTATTTTAACTTAGTTTATAATTATATAATAAGAATTAGTTATTAAAATAATATTATAAAGTTTAATTCTTTTTAATTCTTTTTTTTATTAATATAAAAAACTTATAGCCTATTATTTAAATTATTATTTTATATTAATACTCTTTAAAAATAATTAAATAATTATAATAATAATTATATATATATATAATTATTTTCTTATTAAACTTTTCTTTAATTAACTTTCTAATTATAAAGGTATAGCCCTTAATTATTATATAAATATTAATTACCTTAAATAATACTTTTTATAATATATACTTATTTTTAAAAAGGAAATAATTATTAAAAAATAGTATTAAACTTTAAGATTAATTAATATTTATAGCTAAGTAATTATTATAAGCTTATAATCTTAATATAATTAATAACTAATATAATAAAATATAATATTTAAAATAATATAAAAGAGACTAATATTAGAGTAAGCTATACTAGATATAGTAACTTAGATAGGACCTGTCTGCCTATTAACTGCTTCCTTAGAAGGCGGCTAAGAGGCGGATAAGTACCTGTCCTTTTAAAATAAGATAGGTCCTATCCTAATTGCTATATTTAGTCTAGCTCTCTTTATAATTAGTCTCTTTTATACTATTTTAAATATTATATTTTATTATATTTATTACTAATTATATTAAGATTATAGGCTTATAATAACTACTTAGCTATAAATATTAATTAATCTTAAAATTTAATACTATTTCTTAATAGTTATTTCTTTCTTAAAGGTAAGTATAAGTTATAAAAAGTATTATTTAAGGCAATTAATACTTAAATAGTAACTAAGGGCTATATATTTATAATTAAAAGGTTAATTAAAAAGAAAACTAATAGGAGGATAATTATATATATATATAATTATTATTATAACTATTTAATTATTTTAAGAAAATATTAATATAAAATAATAACTTAAATAATAAGTTATAAGTTCTCTATACTAATAAAAGAAAATAAAATAAAAGTACTTAGACTCTATAGTACTATTTTAATAGCTAATTCTTACTATATAACTATAAACTAAGCTAAGATACTACTACCTACCTAGTACTTTAAATAATATTTAAGAAGTACCTATCTTAGCTAACTAGCCTTACTAATACTAAGATAGTCCTTAAAGAAATTAAAACATTTATATAGTAAAATGGTAATATAATAATAATATAATAAGATATATATAATTATATTATAAATACTAAATAAGAAGTCTATTAAGGATAAAGTAATATAAATATACTTACTAATTAGCTATTTAGAGAAGGATTTTAAAGTTAGTTTTAAACCAGTCTAAATAACTAAGTTAAAGCTATTCTATTTATATATACTAATTTAGTAATATATCTATAGGTATATTTAGATATCTTAATCTTAGACTATACTTATAAAATTAATAAAAATAATATATTACTTTTAGACTTAATTAGTATTAACTCTTATTAATATTTATTTTATAATATATTTACTTTCTTAAATAAGAAATATAAAGAAAACTATTTTTAAGTATTAGATTAATTTTAGTTATTATATAAAAACTATAAAATAAGGTATCTCTTAGTTATCTTAATTAATTACTATTTAATATATATAAATACTATTAATACTTACTTCTTATTATTAAGGCTATTATTATATTTTTAGTATATTAATAAGGCAGTTTTTTATTATTATTAGCTAAGATTTATATATTAGACTTAAAGAGAAAACTTAGGAATTAAGGCTTAAAATAAGTTTTATAGCTATTAATATTTTATTATTAAGTTATTAAATAAATACACTTTTTATAAATATATATTTAAGTTTAAAAAGAAATAAATTATAAATTATATTAAAGAAGTTAAAAATATTAAGATAAATTAGCTTAATTAATATAAAAAGAAGCTAATAAAGATATAAGTTAATTAATATCTTTACTTTAATAATATTATTACTTTAAGGGTAAAAGATATATATTAGTTACTTAAAAGGTATTTTAAAGTATTTACTTTAAATTTATTTAAAGCTTAATAATTAATTAAGTATATATTACTTAATTAACTAATATAGTTAAAGTTAAATTAAGTTAAATAAAAGATTAGGATATGTATTAAATTATTTAATATTCTTTATAATATAATATATAATTAGGTATTTTATAAAGCTTTATAAAAGGTTAAGTAATAATAAATACTTTTATTTTATTAAGGTTTTACTTTTTTATTAATTTATATTAGTTCTTTTTTATAATTCTAAAGGCTATCTTATACTTATAAGCTAAAGGGTTTATTGGCTTAAGGCTAAATTTTATAACTTAAAGATTTTTATTTATATTAATATTTAACTTAAAAAATAATTAAAAGCCTTTCTTAAAACCTTATTAATAAGTTAATTTAATAACTATAAATTTATCTTTATTATTATTTAATATAAAAAGAAAACTTAATAACTTTAAAATTATTAAGAAAATAAGGCTAATATAAAACCTTTCTGTATATAATAAATATTATATACTAAGTTATATAAAAAACTTAAAAGAATATTTATTATAATACTTAAAACTAAGAGTATTACTTATTATATCTTTAAATTAGCTATAAGTATATTTAAAAACCTTTAAGTAAATACCTTTTATAACCCTTAAGGAATTAAGGCTATTAATAATAAAAATACTTAATAAAATATAATAATAACTAATTATAACTTTAAAAACTTTTAAATTTAAAAATAAATTAATTTATTAAAATTTACTATTTTAATTAATTATTAAAATAAAGCAAGTAAACTAATATATAATAATTTTAAAACTTTAATACTTATTACTTATATTATTAATATATAAATTATAAGTATTATTATAATTAAATTTAAGAAATCTAGCTTTAAACCAAATTATATATTTAAGGTATAATAATTTATAAGCTATTTATTAAAAATATATTAAGTTTAAAAAGAATTAATATAAGACTTAATTCCTAAGAGCCTAGCTTAATAATTACTAATATTAAAAAGTAATAGTCTTATTTTTAAAATACTTAAATAGTAAGCTATAGCTAGTATTTTAATTATAAATAAATAAAAAGGTATTATAAAACCTTAATAAGTTTTAAAAAATAAATTAAAAAAGAAATAATAATTTACTTAAATTAAAATAAAGTAAAAGCTAATTAAATTAAAATATAAATAACTAAGAAAACTAAAAATAAATAACTATTTATAAGTAAAAGAGATATAAATAAATTATAAAAAATAACTTAATAAAATATTAATAAATAAAAAGTCTTATATATTATTATAAAATAAAAAAAAAGTTATATTATAATTTAATTTTATTTTTAATAAAGTTTATAATAAGCTTATAACTTAAATAAATTAAGACTATATATATTAAAGTTAGTAATTTACTTTAAGTAAAAATTAGTAATTAATAGACTTTAAGTAAAACTACTTAAAATAGTTCTAATCCGATAGCAGAGTAAGCTATACCAGATATGGCAATTAGGACAGGTACCCGTCCGCCTATTAGCCGCCTCCTTAGAAGTTAGAGGCGTACGGACTAAATATTCTTTATATTGCGACCTAAATCTCCAAAATCCTAAAAGGGGAAGGTGCACGGGCCACAAAAAGTGGTATTGGATGCCATTACCAGTGGTATTTGGTACAGTAGAAAAAGTTTTTACAGGAGAGAGTTAAGACTTGAGATTTATCCCCGGCATAAGCATTTAAGGGAAAATAATATTCAAGCACTTGTACCTGATACAAGACACGTGTCGGTAAACTGAATGAAGCTTCAATACTGAGCTATCTCCGGCCTAACTTGGAACTTTATACCAGCGCAGTAGCCGCGTTATTTACGTCATAAACTAATTTATGCTAAAGTGACGGTGGCTACATGTTCTCGTTCGCTTAATTCTATACTTGTTGAACCTCGTCCCTCTTCAATACAATATGTGACTAGTCCAAGCCTCTCAAAATCCCCTGGCCTGCTCGGCGACTTGCCTAGTATCAACAACTCGTGATCCTGCCTTTGTGGAGATTCTGGCTCTAATGTGGATGGAAAACAACCCAGTTTGAGAGCCCAGCATCGAGTTCTGGAACTGGGGGTACCTGTGCTCGTAGTGGTAACAGGTAGTTGATCAGACCTCCCTGACCCTTCCATGCTCGGATATCCTCGGTTGTCAGTTGATAAGTTCTGGGGAAAATGCCGTGGACTCCATCTGCAAACGGTTCTCTCTAAACTACCATCTGGTCCTTTCGCTATTGTTTGCTGAAGAGGGGCGTCAGCGACTAAGTCTAACCTGATCCGACCTAACCTAACAACAAACACCCCATTATGAGACGAGTCCTCCATAAATCCTGGAATGAGCGGTCCGTGGATAGTAAGTCGTCCACTCTCTACGCGTCCCAAAGGAGCTTCGCGACTGGAATTTGTCTCAACGGCCACGACTGATGCACTCTTCTGGTACGACCGTTTGCCATTCCTGAAGCAGCAATAATCAACCTCACCATCGATCGAAGCCCAAGAGAAAGACGGAGCTATGAACCCGGATCGAGGTAGTTTAGTTGCTGGGGTAGCCCTTCGCCACAGGAGATCCATGTCGATGTTGTCCGCCCATAAGCCTGCGGCATAGCGGGACTGAGTTTTCTGCTGTAAGATTGCGGCAATTCCAGATATTGCTGTCAGCTTATCATGCGGATCTGTTAGAAGCCGGTTAGAATAGTTCTCAACGACCTTGTGCCAGAACCGGAAGGCATCAAAAGCTCGTGTTATCTGAAAAACAGGCTTCTGACCAAACAGGCGACGGTGATTCAGTTTGGAGCGACATTCGCACAACACAGCCTCCTGGCAAGTCCACTGCATTTCTGTAAGAGAAAAGGATAGCAGGCGTGTTGATAGCAGCTGCTCCTGCAGAGTCCATCCTCGCTGTGACCATGGCTCTCTTGGAAAACGCTCATCAAAGCAGTCCTGCCACTTGGAGTGGACACCGGATTCAGGAATGACTCTGGCTTTGAGCAGATGGGAGCCTTCTCCGTCGACTACCCGCTTGCTGAACACTCGCGTGTAGTATTTGTCTTGATGCGACCCAGTTCGAAGACTGTGACGAAGGAAAGGTTGATTCGCCGACCCTGACGACGCTGCCGCAATTGTGAGATAAGCTTTGGCATAGATGCCGGACATCTTTGCGGATTCTTTCACCCAATCTTCGTGACTATCCTGGATAATACACAATGAATCAATCCAGAGATACTGAATCCCAAGCTCTCGGGTCAAGGCGACAGCTTCGACGTACGCTTGCAGAAGCTCCGAGATACTGATACCCGATTTCATGTTCTCTAGGCCAGCCAATGTTGTCTTCACCGTAACATTATCGCCCCAACAATAGCTAAGAGCGATGTACTTAACAGAAGCAGCGCTCTCGGTCTCAACAAGCCGTATAGCGCTGTCACCACAGTGGCCTACATCGAGAAGTCGAGCCGGCAGGCCACCTTCACTCTGCTGGCAGAGGGTATGCTTGTTGAGGCATGTTTGTAGGCAAGACCTGACGAATGACAGACCCTCGTCTGACAGCTGATTTGCGCAAATGTCTGGCAATGGCCTAATTCGATTCCATGTCCTCTCGTGGGGGGCTGTAGTCTGTGTCAGCGAATTGTAATAAAATTCGAGATGTTGAATGCACATACACATATATACTTGCACATAGAGTTCAGTCCAAGAGTTATAGAAGGATATTCCCAAGTTTCCCAGATCCGTTGGAATTCTCAACTCTATGTTGCGGACACTGCCGTCGTCTCGGGGGTCCAAGCCAAAGAATATCAATATCTCGAAAAGAACAGAGCATATTTGGCAGCCGGATATTGTCGAGACTTCCATGTCTCTCATACTTCTGCGCAGGCAAATGACAGACTCTCTTCGGTTCCAAGTTATCTGATTGCCGTCACTTCGAATGGCAGTCGGCGCATCCAAAGCGAAGCAGCACGGGCATGGCTGATTGTCGGGACGAGGTGGAATCAGTCGATCCAGAGAGACGAAACCAGATTCAGAATGAGTAACGTTGAGTCTCTGCATCGTCGTTTCCGTACTGCCGGTGCCTTCATTGAAGTGATTCATGAATTGATGAAGGGGTCGTTTCAGCCGAAGATGAGTCGTCAAGGGCCACAGATGGAATACCGGGTTAAGGTTAGATATATTCTGCGAGGGCTCGTTAGAATGGCTAATCCTATAGTGGCTTTTAAGGGTGGACGTGAAAGTCACAAGGCAGCTGCCAAGAATTGTGGGCGTTTGCTGTTTGTTTGATTGTGTTACGCATAGCAGGCGGAAATTAGAGCGTATCCTGGTGAAGTATGTTCGATTGACGTTAACGTGAAACATCATTGGCGCCAAAAGAGGGGTAACCGGGGTATCTTCCGAGTGCATGCAAATCTCCATTCCGGACCTCTCCTCTCCTTTTCGGTCTGAGTACAAGCGGGGTACCGAAAGTATGATCCGTAAATCTGAACCCGCCAAAACACCACTGAAAGAGCCCTAGTAGTTAATAACAATATCAATTGTAGTAGAATTGGATTTCCTGCCCCACTTTACAAGTGGTTGAGTTGATTTTTGTGCGCCAATCAGAACCCGTAAATCTCCTCTGCAAGGCCTTCACTGACATATCCTCAAAAGATCCTCAAAGATATACTGCTCAACTTTCCCTGCTCGCGGCAATGGAACTGGGGCCTTTTATATACCTCAAGACCTACAGAGTTTTGGTGTGTCAAAAATGTCGGTACGGTTGTGTATCAGATGAGGTGCCTACTCATTTGCGCAGCAAGTGTTGTTTATATTGCGCAGTAGTACTGGGTGAAAGTATATTTTTTATGAGACTTTTTTTTTTTTTTTAAGATAAGAGTTCTCGGGTTTATATCTCTAGTTGATTTTATCTAGGACTTCGAACTTTAAATCTAGAACTTTCAGACTAACAGTCTGAATCCTGATGATAAGGGGGATTCCCAGTTTTCCAACAGGCCATGCCGAGCAGATCTGCCAATGCCGTGCTTTTTGCCCGGATGCTCCGATGCACATTTAGGACTCAGAGCAAAGCTGCATTTGGTACATATAATAGCTGCTTCCGGCAAATTGTAATAAAGGCTGAGCCTCTCGAGTTTCTGCAGCTTTGCTGGAGGTAAAGTGGGATGGCTACATGGCTCATGAACAGAGGAGCGGGCCATTATGACTAAGCATATATAAATATAATAGACAGCATGGAATGGCGGAGATGGAATAGATATTATACGAAGATGATAAACACGTGAGGTTCAGTAGACAATGGTAATGAATGTTGTTGTTTAGGTCTCTAGTCAAGTTGTTGAACTCCACAAGGGTCAGCCGACGGAAACGCGATGCGTTTCGTGTTTTAGGTTTTCTGATTTCATTAGTACGGTACGAGAAACGCAGTGCGTTTCCATCAGGAGAAATATGGGGCGAAATGCTAGACGGTGATTGGTCAAAAACAGGAAACGCAATGCGTTTCTGCAGATAATTCATCAGTAGGGGGCCGTTTCAACGTTTTCGCCCGCTCGCAAAAGCTACTATGTTAGGTTTGCAGATGATGAAGACGATAACGACCTTGAGAAACAGTTGGCTTCTTTAAACATTCATGAAAACGCATTATTAGTTAAGGATAAATTAGTATCTCTTATATAGCTACAAATGCAACTTTCTTATTAGAAAGACCTCCTTTAGAGAATTAAAAACATTGCAACTAAAGTATTATCCTATATTCAGCTAAGCATTAACCTTTAAATTGCTATTTTTAGCCCTAATAGAATCAATTTCTTTAAGATTATTATAGAATTAATTTAAGATATATATTATTACTTGGATAAAGTAATAGTATATATAATAGTAATACTTTTAGTTCTAGCAGGAAAAGAAGGCCTAGTCTATTATAAAGAATAGCTAAGAAGATCCTTAGCCTAGTGCCCTAATACTTATAGTATTATAAACTCTATTATCCTAGATATTAAAATATTATTAAACTAGGTATTTTATTATATCTTACTTTATTTAGGATTAATTATTAAGGGGAGGATTCTTTTTAATCTATCTTAAGATTTAAATAATAATATAATATAAATACTCTTTAATATGCCTAAAAATCTTAAAAATATATTAGCAGGTATTAAGTCTACTTTTAATATTATATTAATTTTTTAAAAGTATAATAATTAGGTTTTCTAAATAGGTAAACTAGTCTATATTAGGTTTATGTTTATAGATTATATAAGGCATAATACTAAGTATTATAAAGTATTATATCTCTTAATAATTAAGTAATATATATTAGGCTTATTAATATAAAGATGCTTTATTAATAGCTAGTAAGCTAAGTTTTATAAAAGTGCTAATAAATATATTTTATATATTAAGGGTAGCCTAATAGCTTAGTAAGGAATAATAGTAATCTAAAGGTTAGATCTCTAAGGATTATTAGTAATCTAAAGTAATCTAATCTTAGAGCATTATAATTTAAGTATTCTAATAGAAGAGGATTATTACTAAGAGAAGTAATCCTTCTATAATAGGTAGAAATTATAGGGGCTATATAATATAGCTATATAGGTTATAATACGATCTCTCCCCTCTATTAGGTCTTGCCCTTAAGACCTATATATCTCCCTATTCTTATATCAGGCTTTAGTAAGCGCTAACTCTCTTCTTTTATTATTTTCCTAATATACCTTACTAATTATTATATTATAGAATCTTTAGTTAAAATCTTATAAGACTTTAAAGTATATTTATTTAGCAGATTTAATTATAAAATTTAGTTTTAATATTATACCTTATTCCTTCTATAAGGCTAAAGGCCTTTATTATAAAATAATTAAGCATTCTTCTCGTTACTTTAAATATACTTAATAAGGTTAATCTTATAATGCTTCTAGTATTGCAATTGCCTATTATATGTTATTTCCCTTATCCTTATTGCCTTTTGCTAACTGTTTTCTCTTTAGTTCCTTATTTAAATTATAAGTCTAATTATCTAAAATAGGCAAAAAAGGAAGCTAAGGAAAAGCTTTTTAAGGCTTAATAAGAGGTTAATAAGGCCATTATAAGATTATCTTATATTTATTATTAGAAGCATTTATTATATAAGTAGGGTATTTAGTTTATTATTAATAGTATAAATTCTTCTGTAGGTAATATTATTACTTAAGAAGAGGATATAGCAGTTTTAGATATTTAGTCTTTTAGTAGTGCTAATATTATTAACTAAAACCTAATTTTTAATCTTTTACTCTTTAAGATTATTAGTAAAAGTTCTTTAGGAGTTGCTAGGTATTAGTAAGGTATTTTATTAGTTTTTATATATTTTTATTTTCTAGGTAGTTTTTCTATTTAATTAGATATATCTTTTATTTATTAATTCTTTATATATTTCTAATTTCTTCTGCTTTATATACTTTTAGTTCTATAATTTATTGTAGTTTATTGCCGGTTTTTATATATATTATATCTGCAGCTAATTTAAGTATTAAGATATAATAAATTAGGTAATATTTAATATTTAAAGGTAAATCTAATTTATATTAATCTTCTCTTATCTTTTATTTAATCTTAACTAGCCTTAAGTACTTATAGTCTAGTTTATAACTTAATTAATCTATTTTAATATTTTTAGTAAATAAGTAAATTATATCCCCCTTTATAAAGGTTGGTCCGTTTAACCTTTTAGGGTTATAGTATTTTTATATCCTTTTCTTAATAAATTCTAATTTAGTCTTAAGTTTATTATATATTTTTCTTAGCTTATTACTTATAATAATTACTGCTAAGTTTATATTCTTAGGTTCCTAAGTATTATAATATATATTAGGTATAAATCTAATATTTATATTAAATAGTATAAGTTTTATACTTTTATTATAGGCAGTATTATAAGCTAGCTAAGCGCTTAGTAGCTTTTTAACCTAGTTATCTTATTTATAGTTAATATAATACTAAAGGTATTATTTTAGTATTTAATTTATTTATTCTATCTAGCTATCTGCCTGCAGTCTAAAAGCTATTATAAGTTAGTAATTTACTCCTATAAGTGCTATAAGTAATTGCTAGAATTTAGAGGTAAATATTAGTCCTCTATCTAATAGGATTTCTCTTAGTAGTCTTTATTTCTTTATTACCCTATTATAGAAGATATAGGCTATAACTCCTATATCTATTACCTCTTTATAATGTAAGTAAATTAAGAACTTTATTAGTCTATTTATAATAACTATAATACTATTATAGAAGATTTTAGTTAAAGGATTTTCTAATAATAGTAATTTAGTTATAAAGTCTATTATAATTAAGCTTTATAGTTATTTTATAACTTCTAATAGTTATAGTATTTTATAAGGTTTATATTATTATGCTTTTATTTTAATATAAATATTATATTATTTAATAACCTTTTTTATTACTTTTTATATTATTTAGTAACCTTATTATAATAGTTATTTTAAGGTCTTAATAACTCCTTAATATCTATATAATAAATATATATAAAATTCTTAAATAAATTCCTATAGTTCTCCTGGGATTTCCTTAATTACTTTTGCTTATATCTATCCTAGTATTACTATCTTCTAAGTAAATTAATATTCTCCCTTATTATTCTTTTCTAGTACTTATTCTTTTACTTTAATAGTGCTGGTATTATAGTCTGGTTATTAGCTAATTATATCTGCTTTACTATTTTCTAATCCTTTATAGTAAATAATTATAAAATTAAATTTATATAGGAATTCTATATAATATAATTATTATTTATTAAGTTTATAGGTTATAGTAAAGTATAAAATATTCTAGTAGTTAATATAAACCTTAACTTTATACTTACTTCCTATTAGGTAGTATTTAAACTCTCTATTACTAAAAATTCTTTATTATAAATTAGGTAATTAAGCTTTACTTTATATAGTTTATATAAATAGAAAGCAATAAGATATAGCTTTCCTTCCTTATCTCTCTAACTAATTTATCCTCCTAATATAAAGTCTAATATATTATTTCTAATTTAATTTCTTTTTTAGGATTAAATATTATTAAGACTAATTTGCTAAGGATTACTCCTTTAAGTTGCTTAAATGCCTCTTAAGCCTTATTATTCTAGTTAAAGGGCTTTTCCTTTTTAGTTAGTTTTATTAATAGGATTGCAATCTTACTAAATCCTCTAATAAACCTTTAGTAGTAGTTAGCAAAGCTTAAAAAGGCTTATATTTCCTTAATATTAATAGGTACCTTCTATTTTACTACTACTAAGATTTTCTTTTCCTCTATTTAGATTTCTTTAGGTATAATAATATATCCTAAAAAGTCTACCTTTATAATATAAAAGTAACTCTTCTCTAGTTTAATTAATAGCTTAGTATCC